GTCCACCCCCCCCCCCCCCCACCAGCCCTCCCCCCTGCCCCCGCCCTCAGTCTTCTTGAGCAGGGCCGTTACTCGGAAGAGGAGGAGACCCCGCCACTCCGGGAGACCCCTTCCTTCGAGGCCTGGCTGCCACGCTCGTCGGCACCATGCTGGAAACAGGGAGTGCAGGGAGGGATGGCACCCACCCACCCACGCGCCCCCCCCCTCCATGTGCCTAACACCTGCGGGAGACGCCAGGCAGAGCCCGGCTGGGCTTCCCTCTCAAGCAGCCCACGCAGCGGCTGCCAACACTCCTCAGCACCAGCACCAGCACCATCCAGCCGTCCCTCCGCGCAGGTTTCGGAGGTAATCCTCAGGGACCTTTCGTTAGTCCCACCTGAACACATGGAATTTCTGCTGAACCATGAAGATGCAAAAGGCCCCCCCTCCCTGGTTTTCCCTGCATGTTCTTTTTTTTCTGGGGGAGGGGATGGGCGGCACCTCCAGGTTTAGAGCCTAGATGTTCGTGGGATGTGGGGGAGTTGGAAGCAATGAGCCATCGTGCCCTCCAAGGGGGCAGAGAGGCTTCTGGCCCCCCCCCCCCCGGATGGAAGCCACCGGCTAGGCCAGGGCCCTTAGGAAGACGGCGAGAAGGCCCAACCCTGCCTCCACGTGTGTGTTTAATTCCAAGGCATCATCCGCTCTGCAGCCCAAGGATGGGTTTAGGTTCTGCGCAAAGTCTGAGGGTCGCACTAGGCCCAGATAAGGACAAGGGGGCTTGGGGGTCTGATTCCCAAAGCAAGGGGACCAGGGGTGGGGCCAGCACCCGTGTGTATGTGTGTGTGTGTGGGGGGGAAGGATTAGCGCTGAGTTCTCCAGCAGCAGCAACCCCACAATTAAACTTCTAAACATTTCGGCAGGGGAGGAATTTTTCAGGCTGGGCATCCTTGCATGGTGGTGGGGGAGGGAGGAGAGGGACGGCCAGCTTTTCCCTCCCCAGGAGGCTCCCACCGACAATTCCCTCCCTTCTGCTGCAGTGGAGGAGGGAGGGGGGGCTATCCAGCAGAATTCCCTCCCAAACGTCCCGCCAGGAGCCCTTGAAAGCCTTCTGCTGCAGTGGAGGAGGGAGGGGAGGGGGGGCTCTCCAGCAGGTGGGCCCAAGGGAGCCTTCCCGTGGGTCAGATTTGGCCCCCCAGGCCAAAGGGTTTCTCATCTTGAGGTGTTGGGCAGGCGGAGGGCTGAAGCTGCACCGACTCTGAGGCTGTGGGGCTGCTCCCCTTCCTACGAGCAGAGCCGCTTTCCGTGGGCATCCATGACTCAAGTGTGAGGATGTGTCACTGGGGGGACCAAGACCAAGATCGCCCACACTCTTGTAGGGGTGTGAGGAGAGCTGACAAGAAACGGGTGTGTGGGGGGGGAAAGGAGATTCTTTCGAAGCGTGGTGTGAGGAGAGCTGACAAGAAACGGGTGTGTGTGTGGGGGGGGAAGGAGACTCTTTTGAAGCGTGGTGCTGGAGGAGAGCTCTGCCAGAAAGACAAACAAGCCAGTCCTAGATCGAATCAAGGCCGAACTCTCTCTAGAGGGAAAGATGCTGAAACGGAAGGTGTCCTACTTTGGGCCCCTCCTGAGAAGGCAAGGAGATTCTCTGGGAAAAAACCACAAGAATGCCGGGAAAGATGGAAGGCGGCAGGAGAAGAGGAAGGCCAAAGACAAGACTGGCTGACTCCCTCAAGAAACCCCCAGGGCAGTGGAGGACGGGACCCCTCGGCAATCGCCCGTTCATGGGTACGCCATAAGTAGGAAGACATCAATGTTTCCGTGTTGCCTTCTACTGGGGTGGTGAACTGAGGTTTAAGGGAACAAATACTTGAAGGGGGCAGAGAAATGTGGTTCTTGATTATGGCTGGGGGGTTCCAGCAGGCGGCCCAACTGAAGCGGGGGGGGGGAGAGGAGGAAAGGCGCAACCTTTGGCTAAGCCAACATTCAGTTTCTGGCTCCAAAGGGCTTTGGTGTTGCCCATGCCTGCCTGAACGTAGCCTAAAGAGGTTGGCACCGCTGGAGAGCTGAGGGGTTTTCAGGCTCCCCACTGGGCCTGCTGAACAGGGGCTGGAACTCAATGACCCAGAGGGTCCCTTCCAGCAATGCCATTCAGAGATCAACTCTAACTGCGCCCCCCCCACCGCCCACTCCCCCTTTGGCAACCCTAACTGTTTGCACTGTCTATCCTCTGCTTTAAATGCCAGCACCTCGGGAGGAAGACCAAGCATCTGCTCTGATCGCAGAAGGCCGCAGCGGTAAAAACACATATTGCTCTCTCTCCTGTTAGGGTCGGAAAATGCTCCTTCTGCCTGAAAACATTCCTCCCCCCCCCCGATGCTGTTGGGCTCAACGGATCAAGGCTCTGACTCAGCAGAAGGGACTTGCTCTGTTCCCGGTGCGGCGCCGCTCAGCTGATCTGCTCTCCAGAACAGAACGAAAGAACGAGCCGGCTATCGCTTCTAAGAAGACAGCAAAAGGAGCTTTAAAAGATTTCTACACTTCCTTAAAAACAAACAAAACAGCCTCACATGAGGAAAGACTCGCATGGAACCTAATATTTAAGGCACCAGAAAGTGACTGGCAGGAAAGCAGACCTTAGAAAAGGTGCTCTTGCTACACGGACCTGGAACGCTTCCATCATATGCATGTTCTCTTGCCTGGCACCATCAGAGAGAACCAGGATTAAAACCGGATGCAGAAATCTAAGAGAACCTGGTGGGCCCGAAATGATGTGAAAAATCAAGGTGGACTTTTCCAGGGAGCGCCCGCCTTCAGCCGGGGAGGCGCAGCATCGGCAGGAGCTCCACTCGCCCATTATGGGCCGAGGAGTGTTGCGGGCAGGCGAAGGACCCGGGCGCTAACCCAGCAACAAAGAGCGCCATGAAGTACTCCGGACCTTTGAGGCTCTGACCCAGCCGCAGGGGGTCAACACAGCCCTACGGGGTCCACGCACACCCTGCCTTCAGCGAGAAGCCCCGAGCCCTCCTCTCCACGGGAGCTGCCTCGCGCGAGGACAGGCTCCTCAGCCAGAGACCAGCCGACCGGCGCCACCAGGCCCTCTCCCTGCGACGAAAGAGAAGCCACCAGGGCAGGAACGCTGCCGGGAAGCTCAACCCCTCCAAACCGCCCCATCCACCCCCAGGGGCTTCTCATGAGAAAGTGATCCTCCTTCAGGAATCTGGGCAGGTGAAGGCTCAGTATTCTAGGCCAGAAGGCCCGGCCGGGGACCGACTCAAGGGCACGTTCTCCTGGCTGCACTTGCGAAGGCCGGCCTCTGGAACGGCAGTCCTTAAAAGGGCCCCTCCTGAGGATCTGAGCATCCTCACAGGTTCCTCGCGAGACAGGTGGCCCCCTAGGTAGGCAGGGCCCCAATCCCATTATGAACGGAAGCCAACCGCCTAGGCCTGGGTAAGGAACCAGGAACCAGCGTGGGTCTTCCAGGGTCGGGTGAGCCCCAGTCGGCCACCGAGCGGTGCCCGAGATCGCTCCCAGCCAAGAAACCCCTCTTCAAGGCCAGCCCCGCGTAAGGAGGGCATTGCTGCACACCTGCGATGCCACAAACACACCACGATGGCCCACATCTAGGCTGAGAAAGGAAGGGGCTCCCAGAAATACACACACACACACACCGTTTTGAACCAGGTAAGCACAGCGACCGGAGGAAGGCCTGGGAAGGCTACGAAGCGCTCTGCCACGGGTGGGTGGGTGCCGTGGCATCTGCCCGATGGCTATTCTGGGGTTTGTGTGTGTGTGATGACACAGGGGCTTGCAAAAAGCTGAGCCAGGGAACAAACCTGGCTCTACCCCCTGCCCTATAAGGGGGGGCACCCATACGTTCAACATCTGTCCTCACTGCTCTGTGAGGGAACCAAGGAGATGCTCTCAAGGGCAGGAAATGCTCGGGGGGGGTGGGCTCTTCCCCACCATGCCACATGCAGGTGTGATCAGACCTGCCATTTCCTCTCCACCTACGGTTGTGGTCGACCAGGAGCAAAAGAGGGAGAGAACGCCGGACGTGGTCCTATGGAATAAGAGCGCCTCCCGGGCGTCTCCCCTGTTTCGTGTACGCCAGCCAAGTGGCACCCCCAGCTTTTCTTAGCTCTGTGCTTGAAAACGGTTGTTTTCTCACCAATACATGTTTCCAAGAAGAAAAGCCAGCCCAGGTAGCCCTGGGCAAGCAGCCCAGTCCCAGCGCGGCCTCAAAAGGAGGGCACAGAAAAGCCGCTCTGAGCACGGAGGATCCAGGATGAAGGGCAGCCCGAAACAGGAGGGGTCCTGGTGTCACACGAGCACTATCATCCCCACTGGCAACTCCATCAAGGGAGAAGCTGTGGGACAAAAGAGCCGACCTCTCTGGACAGGCAGGGCAATGTGTGTGTGGGCGTGTGTGTCTGCAGGCGAAAAGCAACCCTGCAACTTTGCCAGGAAAGCAAAGAGGGGGCTGGTGAGGGCCCCCGTCCTGTCCTCCAGAGAGAGAGAAACCCCTTGCATTCTCTGATGACGCCCCCCCTCTCCCTAACTAAGCAAACAGTCAGAAGGAAGCCAGCCCCCCCCCGTCCCTCTTGAGCCCTCTTCCCACCACAGGGGTGGCTGGGTGGTCAATCAGTGGCTCCCACTGGCCTTGGTCAGCACGGCCTGGCCTGCGGGTGGACAAGGCTTGAGTCGGGGGGGGGGGTTTCCTGGAGAACTGGTTGAGAGGAGTTGGAGAGGAGGGTACATTGGGCAACGAGGTGGTGGTGGGGGCTCAGAGGGAGGGACCCCTCTGTGAGCAAAGGTGGTGCACATCATCCTCTGGGCTGGGCTGCAGGCCAGCCGTTTTGCCAGGGCTCAGTCCAGGGGTCCACAGCCAAGAGATGTGCCGACTGCACCCCAAAATACCACGAGGCCCCCACGGGGCTTCCTCCCTTGCCCCCAAATCCTCCCACGTAAACGTGGCTGCCCAACCGTCCTCCTGGGGGGGGGCAGCTCCTCTCTCACCAAAAGAACTGCAGAGTCAGTGGCAGGCAGGCAGCCCCCCCCCCGCGTGGCCGGGAAATGGGGGGGGGGCAAACCAAGCAGGGAGAGGCTTTCAGCCTCGGGCAACCTCTGCAGCAGGAGGAGGAGGAGGAGGAGGTCCCGCCTGGAAAGAGGCAACGACCCCGCTGGCATCCCTGAGCTGCCCAGAATCATCGAGGCCATCTTAAATCCCGGGGAGAGCAAAGAGGGAAAGGAAAGCCAGTTCGGGAGCACCCAAGGCAGTGGGGCTGCCGCGCGTGTGCGTGTGTCTCCTCCCCCCCCCGCCCATCTTGAAGGGCGGGGAGAACACCTGGCAGGCAGGGGTCCAAGGTGGTTGTGCCCCCCCCTCCCCGGCCTTCCAGGAGTTGTGCCTGGGGGTCTGGGCTGGGTGGGGGCAGAGCCTGGAGATCCGTCTGGGTCAGGGAGAGAAAGCCTTTCCGGCCCGGCGAGGAACACGAACACACACACGCACACACTTCTAGCAAAGGGGCCCAAAGGCCGGCCTGCCTGCGGAGGGGTCCAAGGTGGCGGTGCCCCCCCCTCCCGGGCCTTCCAGGAGTTGTGCCTGGGGGTCTGGGCTGGGTGGGGGCAGAGCCTGGAGATCCGTCTGGGTCAGGGAGAGAAAGCCTTTCCGGCCCGGCGAGGAACACGAACACACACACGCACACACTTCTAGCAAAGGGGCCCAAAGGCCGGCCTGCCTGCGGCTTTGGGGGGCTCCACAGCTCCCCCCCCTCGCAACACCCCGG